TGCAAGTCGCGGTTTAAGCTCTAGTGAAACTAGGTACCCTGCGCACAAGTTGGAGTTTCTAGCCTTAAAGTGGGCCATAACAGATAAGTTTCATGACTATTTGTATGGGAACACATTCACTGTCATTACTGATAATAATCCGTTAACTTACCTCTTAACAACGGCAAAACTCGATGCAACGAGCTATCGTTGGCTAGCTGCGTTGTCCACCTATAATTTTGACATCAGATACCGTGCAGGTACACAGAACGTTGACGCGGATGGCCTGTCTAGGAGGCTGCATGATAAACCTGAAGACAACTCAAAATTCACTGAGGAATGCCAACGACTAGATGAGTTCCGATCTCATCTTTTATCCTCTGTCAAAGAAGTCGAGCTTCAACTTCAAGCCGAAGCAGTGAAGGCAACATGCCAAAAGCACATGGTCTTGGATGAGACTGATTCTCCTTGTGGTTTAGTTCAGTCACTTGCCATGTCTGCAGCGGCCATTCCAGACCTATTCCAGTTGGAAGACAATAGTGACAGTTTCTTTGCTGTGCCCAAGTATAACCATGCTGACCTTGTCTCCTTGCAGAGGAAAGATCCAACCATTGGCCGAGTCATTCAGCTGCTTATGACTGACAATAAACCGCCAACTGATACTATTGCAGAACCCCCGGTGGTTCTTAACCTTTTGAGAGAGTGGAAACGGTTTGAGTTTCAAAATGATTTACTGTACCGGAGACGCCAATTAGGACCAGAGACATCATTGCAGTTAGTCTTGCCTGATTCATTACGTTCAACAGTCATGCAAAGCCTACATGATGATATGGGGCATCTTGGGGTTGAACGTACGACAGATCTCATTCGGTCCCGTTTTTACTGGCCAAGAATGGCTAGTGATATCGAAATCAAAGTTAAAACTTGCGAAAGATGTATCCGTCGGAAGGCCCTCCCTGACAAAGCTGCTCCAATGGTGAGTATTACCACCACCAGACCTATGGAGTTAGTTTGCATGGATTTTCTCTCCATAGAACCAGACAGTAAGAACACTAAAGATGTCTTAGTGATTACAGACCATTTTACAAAGTATGCAGTGTCCATCCCAACCAAAGATCAGAAAGCCACCACCGTCGCGAAGAACCTGTGGGAACATTTTTTAGTCCACTACGGGTTTCCTGAGCGTCTTCATAGTGATCAGGGACGGGATTTCGAATCACGTACAATCAAGGAACTTTGTTCTTTACTTGGTATCCGTAAAGTCAGAACGAGCCCTTATCACCCTCGTGGCAACCCCGTTGAACGGTACAATCGTACATTACTCAGCATGTTGGGAACTTTACAAGCCACTGAGAAACATCACTGGCGCGATTTTGTAAAACCACTTACTCACTCGTACAATTGTACAAAAAATGACGTGACGGGATACTCTCCCTACGAGCTAATGTTCGGTAGGCAGCCTCGGTTGCCTATAGATATTGCCTTTGGGTTACCGCATTTGAACAAGCCCTCTATAACTCATTCTCAGTATGTTAAAGAACTGAAGAGTCATCTGGAACAGAGTTATGACATTGTCATAAAAAACTCTCAAAAAACAGCGAGGAAGAACAAAGAACGGTTCGACAGAAACATTCGTGAGTCCACACTAGGTGTGGGAGATCGTGTTTTAGTCCGAAATCTTCGCTTAAGAGAAAAGCATAAATTAGCAGACAAATGGGAGCAAACAGTGTATATAGTTCTCAAACAGATGGAAAACTTGCCAGTATACACTGTAAAACCAGAGAACGGAGAAGGACCCAACAGAACACTCCACAGAGATCTTTTACTGCCTTGTGGTTTTCTCTCTTCATTAGAAAATGAAACAGAACGCGTTACGAAACCTAGCAGACCTCATACAAGACAGAGTTCAGCCTTAGAACCTGACCCAGATGAGCCACTTGACGAAGAGGTAGATGAGTTTTATTACTCTGATCTTCCACAAGTGCTAAACCGACCATCCTATCAAATAGCGGTCACCTTGCCAAATAGGGAACTCATAGCAGATTCAGGACCGGTAAATAATATTCAACAACAAAACACACTATCCTTACACACAGGGGATCGCAAGGAACCAACCTTAGCTGGTAATGAAAATGCTGAATTGTCCTTACTTGACAAAGGCATCAACACCAAAACATTCTTACCTGGCAGAATGAGTGAAACTGCGACATTCTTACCTGAAAGAGTGAAAGAAGCAGCAACATACTTACCTGAAAAAACGAAAAAAAAACGAAGTATACTTACCTGACGTAGAAACGGGGGATGAAACTAACACAAACCTACCTCAATTGGATGGTGTCCTAAAGTCGCAGCAACGTGATGTAAGTTTTGAACCCATCATACACGATCAGACACATACATCTGAAAAGACCAAAGTCTTAGAGAATAGCTCATCAGCTCTGTCGGAAACCGAGAGCTCACTTCGTCCTGTCTCAGTTGAGAATCAAACCGAAACGGATGAGCATGATACTGTGCAACCAGAGATGTATGTCAGGAGATCTGAACGAAGTAGTCAGCCTCCTCAAAGACTAACTTACTCTCAATTGGGCAATCCACTAGTGACCGTAGTTAGGTCCCTTTTCCAAGGACTTAATAAAGCTTTTATTGACTCTCTTACTCAAGAAGTTGTGTACCCCGTAGAAACAATGCACAGGGACGTGCATGATATTTAATGGGGGAGGATGTAACCCAGAAGCTAGAACCTTAATGAGGTATTAACTAATTGGCTTACTAATATGATCCATCCTCAATTTAGATAAAATATAAAATATAAATTAAGGAAATTAACAATACTAATTAATAGATATCTAATTAACTAATAGATAATTTCATAATGAATTATTGGAAGGGTGAATAACTAAAATAACGAGTTTAATATTAAACATCGGTTAAAACAAGAATCTTGAACATCACTAACAGAAACAGAAGAGGAAAGCTGTATACTATTGGTCCAGGTGGGAATCTGAAATTTCATTGGCTGAGAGAAATAAGTCCCGCCTCCGCGAAATAAAACCGTGCGACGCAGCTGAGCGAGAGGAGAGACAAACGGCTGTGCAGCACGCAGATACAGAAAGCAAAGACTGAGCGGTTAGAGAGAGAGAGAGAGAGAGAAAAAAAACAACGGTCGAGGCCGTGAAGAACCCTGATTTGGGTGCCGCATAGATAGAGGGAGAGGCGGACTTGACTCCTTCTAATAAGAGCTAGGAACTTGGAACCAACGCGATTTGTGTGGAGACGACAGAGTGAACCAATCCTCTGTAGGAGGGAACCGTTGGAGCGCGTTGGCTGGGTTTTTTTTTTTCCTTGGGTTTGATCCCGACTCCTATGATCACTCACTTGGAACGAGAACTGGATTTCTTCCTGACGAGGGAGATGGCGAGCCTTAACCACTGAACGAACCAGGACATCTCAAGTAACTGAAGAGCAGACTGCTCTCTTCTGTGAACAATCTCAACGGTGTGGTAGGAAAAAATCGCACCACCGGACTCTGACTTTCACCCCAAGCGTGGGGATTTGACTTGACGCCGGCTGACTTGTGACTCATATGATCAAATCTCATACCGAGCATTTTACTATTGTCGATTGTTTTCATCTGTTTTTGTGTGTTATCTTTATGTGTTATATTCCCCGTTATTATTAAAATTTAGTATATAAACCGTTTCATGCTATACCCGTGACTCCAGTCATTCTTAAACAACCTCCAATTCTCCCCGAACCTAATTATTGGCCCATTTGTTTATTTTTTCTTTTAATTATCTTATTGTATCCTGTAATCCGGTTACACACACAACAGGTTTTATGATGCTGCTGACCTATAACGGCTCCGCACACAATATAGCCAAAGGATCTTGCAGAGCTGAAGCTTTTTACCAGGAAGATGAGGGGGGAAAATCCTTGAAACAAGAAGTAAAGAACAGTCCAGGCTTGTTGTTTCAGTATTTTAAATGCCTGAAAGCTGCTCAGTGAACATAAATGATGAGAATACTGATTTATTAATCCAGTATGTGAGTGGTTAACCTCAGTTTCATTTCAGAATTACTTCTGAAAAGAAAAAATTGGAATAATAGATGCTTTCTGACAACCACTGTGTGCCGGTTTGTGGAAAAAGCTGCAGCAACAGGGACCTTCAAGCTGTTCACTTGATGGATCACAATGTTAAAGATAATCCCCTGTTTTTAATTTATTCTTTGCCCGTGTCTCTATAAAGAAAGAATGGTAATCTGAAACTAAATGCACCAGTTAATCCCGTGGCCACCAGCTGCAGTGTCCTCGGACCACTCAGGCCATGAGTCATGATAGGTATTCCTGTTCCTGCCCAGTCATGGTGCGGGCCTCACAGTAATGTTGGACGTCAAAGTTCAAAGTACAGATTTAATGAAACATCACAATAGGGGAAATCATTAAAAAACAAATGCAGATTAGTGTAAATCAAGCTTAGAGAACTAAGATGTTAGAGGGAGCCATCATTTCTGGGTAGGTTGTGCTTTGCATTCTAAAATAAATAACAAATATAATTGAGAAGTTAATCTATGGGCTCATCTGAGAGGCTCTGTGGCTGTGATATTATTGGCTTTAGGCTAATGTCTGGCTGCACACGTCCGGCTGAACGATGCATTGAGATATGAAAATAGCCACCGGCTCTGTGGGAAGAGTCAAATGTCATCTGTCGAGTGCTGTTCTAATGACGTGACTTTGTCTATTAATGATAGAATAACTTTATCCATTAAACATTACCTTATAGATTAGACACACTTTTAGTAAGCTAAAAGGCCTTGGGAGTCCTGGAATAATAATGAGATGACTTTTAATGAGTTTTGGTTCAAATAGACAAACTAGGAGAAGGAACAAAGTTTCAAGAGTTAAATATGAAGATATTATAAAGACACGGCTCGAAAACTTCTATTAAAGAAGGGAAAAAAAGTCATATTTGACTCTGTTACCACAAACTGATAAGTGATCAGTGTTTATTTGATGTTTTCCAGGACTTCTGGTGTTACCGGAACTGGAAAACTGGATGTCTGAGGGTGTCTGATGCTATCTGGCAAGGTCATCGCTATAAGTGTCACGTTGCGGGTGTAGGAGTTGATGGACCATGTGTGGTGGAGCAGATCAGGAGGTAAAGATGCAGGCTTCAGATAAAGTAAAATGGTTTTAATGGTGGGACAGGAAGGAACAGCACAAGACAACGATGACAAACAACCACAATGATCCGACAAAGACTGATACAAGGAGGGAGGTATAAATACACAGGGCAAATGAGGAACACATGGGCAGGTAAACAAGGGGCAGGTGAAAACAATAAGGACTAATCAAGGGCAGGAGAGAGACACAGTCAGGGAGGCAGGGGAAGACCGTGACAATAAGTGGGTCGCTTGGATTATGATGGTTGCTATCAAGGTCGCTCTATAGATCCGGTTGCTTATGGTGCATCTGATGGACGCCAGATAAATTAAAATACGGGGATTTTGGATCCTCTTCCTTGTAGCTTTAATCCTTTTAGCATACTGGAGGCCATAAAATTCAATTTCCCAAGAGGAAACAAACAGTTGTCATGTTTTAGGTTTACACAGATGTTTGGTTGTGATGATGCACAAACTTTTAAGGATTTTGCATTTTAGCCCCTATGTGGTGCCACATGAAAATAGCTAAAGGACATTTAAACTACATTGGTACAATAGGCCATAACACTAAAGCCTGGTGCCTGGTTTATGCTTCTCCGTCAGCTCCGCAAGGGACAGACACGCACGGATTGACGGAAGCGTTTTGCTCTCATACTTCTTCGTCTCCTGGAGAGTGTTGCAAAGCAATTGCCCGGCAGGACAACAGAGGGCGTTTTGCTGTTCTGTGGTATCCTGTCATGTATCGGTCCAAGATAGTGTGTTTATATTGTGTGTTTTGTATATATAAGATACTTTTAACACGGACATATTTGTCTCTCATTCTCCCACCTCTTCATGCACTCCCCACCTCTAAACCCATGTTTCCAGTCATTTCCGTCCACAAATAAAATGCTTGCTGTGCATCATTTCACTCCTCCAGTCACGGGAGAATTAAACATTCATATTTTTAGAGTTTTTTTCGCGAGGTATTCTTCAAGCTTCTCCGTGTCTGCCGCTAGTTATCCTCAGCTCTCTTTGCAATGGCGGCACTGTAAACAACAGCGGCGTCCTTACCAATCACAAGCTTGCATAATCCTTCTCGTTGGTCTCGTTTGACGGATATTTAAAAAAGTGGGCTCGACTCCGTACGTACTTGCGTGCCTGCCGGAGCCCTACGCAAGGATGGATAATGGCGTTGCGTGTCTCCGCACTGACGCAGATGGAGAAGCATAAATCAGGCTTTAGGCCAAGGTCCTGCCTCAAGTGGAGAAATTTAAGTATCTTGGGGTCTTGTTCATGAGTGACGGAAAGTTGGAGCGTGAGATCAACAGGCGGATTGGTGCTGCATCTGCAGTGATGCGGGCGTTGTGGCATCACTAACCCCAAAATTCCACTATCTCTGCTCCGCTCCAGCACGAACTCCGCGGTTAAAACGGTCCCGTTGTAGTCAATCAGAGCTGTTCCACCACTGCGGCCGTGCGGCGCAGTGCGCCGCCTGCCGTTCCGTCATCCGGCAAAAATAGGATTGATTCTATTTTTGCCGGATGCCGGAGCACCTCCACAGTCAATGGACAGAAATCACAACCGCCCAACAGGAAAGGGAGCAAGTACAACTTCCGTTATTTCACAATAAATTGATAAACAAAAAGTGTTTTTTGTTTCATATGCACAGGTTTAACAACTTTTAACAAATATCAATGGTGGTTGAACTTTAAATGCACAAAAATAATCCATAAATACAGTTTCCACTATCAAAGTAGTCACACTTTGTTGATCCAAACACTGCTGATCTCTCAACACAAATGATAGGCAGATTAAACAGTTCATTTTGATGCTTCTCCCACACAACGGGTGTTTGGATCTAACTTCCGCATTTATTGCTCGGACTGTATCGCAAGATCTCGAAAATCCTGCGCATGCCTGTTTGCGCACCTCAGGTCTCCGCACCGGAGCAGAGCCGTTGCAGAGTGGGTATAGTATAATTTGAGTTCGGAAGCGAGCAGCAGCGGAAAGCGGGGGCGGAGTGGAGCGGAGATAGTGGAATTTTGGGGTTAGTGGCAAATAGATCTGAAGGTCATCAGTAAAACAGTGAAAAGTAATTTTATACTTCTCAAAAATAGAGCCTAAGGAGAGCATATACGAAGAAAAAAGTGCTGGACCCAAAATGGAGCCCTGAGGCACACTGCATATCAGAGATGCTTTTTTTGAGGTAAAAGGACCCAGATTAACAAAAAATGACCTCTTGTGAAGGTAAGATTTAAACCACTGGAGAACATTACCTCAGAGACCAACACATGACTCTAGGCAGGACAACAAAATGCCATGATCAACGGTGTCAAAAGCAGTCGGCAGATCAAGTAAAACCAGAGCTGCTGACTGGCCTGAATCAGCAATTAAAAGAAGGTCATAAAAAAACTTGTAAAAGAGCACTTTCAGTGCTATGACGGGGCTTAAAACTTGACTAAATTTTTTCTGAAATGTTGTTAAGGGACAAGTAGTCCTGGAGCTAAGGGGAAAAACAACTTTTTCAAGGTGACAAGCTTGGTCATCCTGGAGGGGCTCGGAGTAGATATACTGCTTTTCTGGGCACATCAAACCGGGAGAAGACCCAAGAAAAGACCCAGGACTTGACGAAGGGGCTATGTTTCTCGGTTGGCCTGAGAACACTTTGGGATTTCCCCCGAGGAGCTGGCCCAAGTAGCTGGGGAGAGGGAAGTCTGGGCCTCCCTGTTTAGGCTGCTTCCCCCCGCGGCCCGACCCCAGAGAAGTGGAGAAAAAAGGATGGATGAACATTCTAATACTAACATTCACATCTCATTATACTGTAATTGTAAGACTTGTTTGAAATTACTATACTTTTCTAGACATCTGTATATAAAATGGCTCGTCTACCAATCAGATCTGACATTAAAATATGATAAAATGCTTTAATCACATTTAGCCTCTCATAATGACTCCAAAAATAAGCAAATAAACACTGTCCATTACCACAAACCCAGGTGGTTTCCAATAAAGTGTTGCTAGGACATATTAATGCCACCTAACAGTGAAATCTCAGCCCATAATTACAAAGCATGGTGCCATTTTACCATTTAAATCAGTGTACACGTGTCTCAATTCTCTGAGATTCATTAAAACTAAACAGTAAATTATTTGGATCTTAGTTCGGCTTCAAGAATAATATTCTGCATCTTTCTGTCATCTAGTGCCACACACACACACACACACACACACACACACACACACACACACACACACACACACACGCGCGCACACACACACACACACACACACACGCGCACACACACACACACACACACACACACACACACACACATACATCCCAAAAACATACAAGAATACATAAACCCCTGAGCTTTGCAAGCCCACTTAGTAGAGAGCAACTAATCTAATCAAGTCTAGCAGCTAATGCACAGTGAAAGCAGACTCATTCACTCAAGATCGCAGTCATCCACTTCCTGTGCGGGAGAGAGAGCCAAACAGGAGAAAGTTCAGCATTTAGAGGACACACCGTGTGATGGAGAACTAATTGATCAGTAGTTGTACAACAATCGTTTTCACTGGATCTTTTCTGTCAGTTTCGCTCTTCAGTATCAGCAGTTTACCCCTTCGAAGGCAGCCCGATCTGTCGCCTCTCCTCTCACTTACCTGTTTGTGATGCTACCTCCCCCTCAGCTCAGCCTCCTCTCTTCAACAACTTGGTGTTCATCTCCTTATCGCTCCCTCCCTGCGTCTGGCTCGGGCTCCCTCCCTCTCTTCCCTCCAACACCTGCTGTCGAGATCAGCCTCCCTCCTGTCAGATGATGCTGAGAGCCGCCCTCCCCTCCCCTCTCCGTCCTCCCCTCCCTGTTTTCCTCTCTCAGCGTCTCCTCACGTATATGTTTTCACTCTCTATGTTTTTATTCCGAGGCGATCACAAACACTGTCTCCTCATTTTTCATCCTCCATTTTCATCTCCCTCTTTTTTTATCTGGTAATGACAGAGATGCACATCCAAGCTCCAGCTATCGTTTAGTGATTTTGTTTGCTGATAACAAATTCTGTTCATTCAACAGGACAAAATGCTGCAGACAAATCCAGGCTTTTGAGAGCAATGTGTCCAAAAGAACACCTAACCCAGTCCTCCTCACTCTGACACCTAGTTTCAACATCATAAAACCCTTCCTGCCAAAATGAGCCGAGCCATCCCATTGTGCTTTTGACACATTAGTGGCAGGCAGCAAGCAGAAAAGCTCTCGAACGTTGCCGACTTTGTAGCACACTCACACATAATGGAGAAAATCACTTGCTCGGCTTGCAGTGGAATGAGCAGAGGTCGGTATGTTTTTCCAGCATAGTATGAACTAATCACATTTTCCTCTTTGGTACGAAGCCAGAGACTCATGCATCAAAATACAAAAAATGGTCAAATACACTATCATGCACTATGCATACAATCATATTCACAATGGTGCTGTTTAACAAGAAAGCACAGGATTTCTATATTGTGTGTCAAGCCAAAGCTCACGTCTCTGCACCAAACATGGTTCTGTATCAATAAAAATGTCAATTTTAAATCAGGTGAACATCTCAAATCATGTCTAATCTGGTAACAATATGCAGGGCAGCAGTAGCTCAGGGGGTAGAGCAGGTTGCCTTATGATCGTCGGGTTGGATTCCAGCTCCCGCCAGGGTTATTCTGCTGTTGTGTCCTTGGGCAAGACATTTCACCCAACTTGCCTGTGTTAGTGGTGGTCAGAGGGGCCGACTGCACCAAGTGGCAGCCTCCTCTGTCAGACCGCCCCAGGGCGGCTGTGGATACAAAGTAGCTACCATCACTAGCAGTGTATGAATGTGAGAATGCATGTAAGCATCTTTGAGTGTCCTAAACAAGCCCTATATACATTTGATGCATTATTATTATTATTATTATTAGTAGTAGTAGTAGTAGTAGTAGTAGTAGTAGTCGTCGTCGTCGTCGTAGTAGTATTAAATTGGAGAAGAGCAGGCTTTCATATATCCATGAGAGGTGTCATGCTCCCAGAGTGTGTCATACAAGTCTTTCTTCTTTTTTCCAGCCATGACTCAACTTGACAGCACAACGTTTTACTACTTTCCTAGGGGCTATCCAACCCCCTTAGGATCAGTTCAGATGCTTCCATTAAGATATTATCCTGGGCAACATCAAATCCAGCCTAAATGTGCAGTAGGACATTTCTGGAGTAGTTTTGTCTGTTTTTTTTAAATGCTTATTACACTTTGATGGCAACCAATAAATTAAACGCTTTGTCAAAAAGGACAGTCCTGGAGAAACCTCATCCAATCAGTGTGAATGTCCCAGCACGGATCACATATTATAGGCTCGGAGCAGCTGGACAGGAAGTGAAGCAAGAGCAGGGCTGTCTAGGGTTATGGATTGAATTTCTTCTTTTGGTCATTTGGAATTGTTTCATATGTTGCTTTGAGTTTGGTTAATCTACAGGTGTTTTGTAGAAATAAGTTACTCTGCTGCTGACCATCATATGCCGTTCAATCCCTGCTGCTGAAAACTGCTGCACACTGAGTAAACTATTTAAAATATGAGCAACAAGGCTACTTTTACATTTATTCTTAATATTAACATGTTTCTTATAAATGTATTTGGTAAATGACAATTTAATTTTTTACATACATTCTTAACTCATTCACTGCTATTGATAACTAAAGTGGTCATTTTAAATCCAACCGTTCACTGCCAATGACGACTAAAGTCATCATTTGCATTTTTTTTACTGTGTGGGCATCAGAACGAGCCCCCGCAACATGAGAACAAACATCTCAGCTCTAAAGCTGATCTTCATCCGCATGCGTCACACGTCACATGATCAGGAAGCAGAAAATCCATGTGTTAGGAGATCGTTTTGGGCCGCTGCTGTAAAAAAAAACTGAGGCACGAACCGGAAAAGCTTCTGCCAATCACAATTCGGCTATGGATTATGAAAGAACGGATAACGCTCGAAACACACGGATTCTTCCTGATGTAAGAGGTGAGTCTCCTCTTTGTTTCGGTAGTTTTGGCGTCGACATCATCCTAGCGCGCAACGTTCTGTGACTATTAAAAAATCTGTAAAAACGCTGAGAAACGCTGGCAGCGAAGGGCTTTACCGATCAGGAAACGGCTGACAGGGAATGAGTTAATGTTAACACGTTTCTTCTTAATATACTTCATAAACAAATGATGTTTTTTGGCGAAACAACTAAAGAAATTAAACAATTACAGAAAGAACGGATTCCAATGATGATCAAAAAAGCTTAAAGGACAACTAGTGTGTTTCTTATTGCATTTGTAACATGATGAAGGAGCTATTCCACCGAAGGTTATTTACGCTCTCTCCTCAGGAAGAACTAATCTGCATGAGACTGCCTCAAGCTCATGCATTTGCTTCTAAAATGTTTCCTTTCCTGCTCAAGAGAAGAATGAAGACAAAGGACTCTTTCTTTTAATAGATCAGAAAAACTCTATTTTTAATAAAGCTAATCAAAGTGTTAGCCAATAATAAAATGTGAACCAATCTGTGAAATGAAAATATTAATTACTTGATATTGTAATCCTATAGAATATAATAAGTAATATACCTTTAAATATTTCCACTAGAGACTGATCACACCTAAGGTTAAGTCACATGACACATTGCTTTTACTGATCCAATCAGAATCTTCCAGATCTGACGGAGGCGTGGTTTTGGTGGTGCTTGGTAAATCTGTCCTCTTTTGATTCAACCGTAAATCAAAACATCCAAATAGGCTCTGAACTACAGGAAACACACAAAATGTCCCAAATTGCTCCATCTACACTGATGACAAGTGCAACCTCCATGGGCAGTGGCCCGGCGCCCCCTGGTGTCGAGCCTGACGAACTACTGTTGAGACCTCTCCTGCCTCAGGGGAGGGGTGGTAAGCCCTCAGTATCTGTCATATATCAACAGGGGCATCCCTGCAATGCGCTTTTAGATACTGGTTCAGATTTTACAATCATAAGCAAGTCTCTTTTCCACCGCGTCTGCCTGGATGTAGGTGGAGGCGTACGCCCTCCAGAACTGATCCCTTCTGCATTAACTATCCGTGTCTTCTCTCCTTCTACAGGTTTTTCATCTCACTGTTTGAGTGCCGGTCTCTACTAAGTATATGACTGCGACAGGCGTGTCGTAGCCTATGCTAGTAAGCTCTTGTCCGGTCCTGAGTTAAAGTACTCTGGCTGTGAAAAAGCTTTGCTTTCCACCATGTGGGCGGTGAAACACTTTTCTAGCTACATCGGTGGACAGAAAATCATCATTGAAACTCAGCACCAACCAGTGACCTTCCTTAACAGTTAGTGCATCAGAGATGGTGTGGTGACCAATGCGCGAATCACATCATGGCTGCTGGCTCTTCAAAGCTTCGACATCGAAATATGCTACGCCCAGAACCGCTGTAACCCTCTTGGCATGGGTTTGGCTGTGTGCCGACACTGCTCGGACGACGCTGTCACGTCAGTCCCGCCAGCTAGCCCTCCTCAGACTCTTCTAAACCCCAACCACCACAACTTTGATCAGTCTCTCTGTGTGGACTTGCCGACCGTGTAGGTCGATGGCAGTTCTATTTGACACGGTGCTGCGCCTAGGTCAGGCGTGGGTGTCGTCTGGTTGAACGCTGACCAGAAGGACTTCCGATGTTACTGGTTGGGTCCTAAGACCTCACAGTTTGCAGAAGTGGCTGGGATCTTGATAGTACTACAACTTGCTGTAAACCGTGGTGTCCGTTAACTGGTGATTTGCACTGACTTGGACTACGCACGTCTCAGTTTCATTTGTCATCTACCTTCTTGGAAGAGTAACAGGTTCCTAACCTCTAACCGGAAGCCTGTTAAACATCAGGACCTCTTCATGGCTTGTGACGACCAAGCAACGTCACATGACATGCACATCTATTGCCGTAAAGTCAAAGGACATTCTCGTGCACCCGGAACTGACAAGGATCTGAATGACCTTGCAGACTCTCTTGCCAAACAAGGTGCGGCCGATGGTACTCCATGGGTCTTCAACCCCTTGTGGCTCCCTGAGGATGTGTCTTCTCGGTCTGACCCAGCACGTGTGCGTCGTGACTCGAGCTCAGGCTGCTAACGCGTCCACTTCCAAACCATCCAAGGGTGTTGTGTCCGTTCAACCTGTCTTTTCTGGTACCGATCTTGTCAGTCTTCAGTCCCAGGACCCTGCGAGACTGGGATGTGAAGCTTCCGTTGGCCCTTATGGCCATACGGGCCACCCCTCATGAGTCTACAGGTGTCTCCCCGTTTGAAATGATGATGGGTAGACAAATGACCCTGCCACTTCACCTGCTGTACCAGCCAGTTCAGTCCAAGCCCGACCCGGCTTACACGAGCGAACAATATCTGCAGGACCTGAAGAACCATCTGCCTGCAGCGTCTTCGTTTGCACAGACAAATCTGGAGAAATCAGCTGAGCAGGAAGGCTTATTATTATCAGAAGGCCTCACATTCTGAAGTCAACATAGGTGATGAGGCCTGGTTCTACATTTTCGCTCCTTAAACTGGTAACACAAAGAACACCTCTGGAAAGCTGGCTAAGAAACTTTAGCCGAAGTGGTCAGGCCCATACCTGATAACCGCTAAACTCTTTCCATTTGTGTATCAGATC